ACGGGAGAGGCCATGACAGTGAGAGGCCCGCGTACCAAAAAAAAAAAAAAAAAAAAAAAAAAGTATCTGGTAAGCTTGTTGTGAGGATTACATACATTAATACATGCAAGTACTTAGAAAGTTGTTTTAAGCACTAAGAGACAGCAGTACCTGGCATGTGGTAAAGAGTGCTAATATCATTTACATTTACTGAGCACCTACTACATGGCAGGTATTACAGAAACAGGGACAAATAAGGTTTCCCAGTTCCCAAGGAGTTTACAATCCAGTAAAGGTGATAAATATATAAACAAATAAGTGAACTTAAGTGTTACAGAACCATATCCAGAAAGAGAGCACACACAGCTGTACACAAAGAAGATGCAGACATGCGCGCTCGCGCGCACAACTCCTGGCAACTGGCTACAAACAAAAAGGTGCTCCTTCCCCTTGGAAGAAGGGAAACTGAAAGATTCCACAGAGAACTGACAGATGAACTGAGTGTTATGATATGAATAGGTATGTGCCAGGCAAGATGGGGCACAAGGACATCCAGGCAATTAAACGTGAGAAGAGGCATAAAAACATTTCATGTATTCCAAGGTTTAATCAAATGCCTATGTGCGTGTATAGCTTCGAGTACTGCGATACAGCAACGATACGGGTGAGGTTTCTGCTTTCACTACCGTCCTAAAAGAGGAGACTAACAATAAACCAGTTAACAGATATACGAACCAAGGAGCTACGAAGAAAACCCAGTGGGTGAGATGGCCAGAGGGAGACTGGGGACCAAAGTGTGGAGAGTGAGAGATGAGAGCAGAGCCAGAGGCCAACAGCACACTCCATTCCTCTGTTTTCTATGGGAAGGATTTTCTCAAAGCCCTCCTGGCGTTTTTTTTTTTACTTCATCCTTTTTCTTTCCCAAGGATGTGGAGTGAGGTAGCTGGCTGGAGGCTAAACCCAGCGTGGACCATGCCTCTCCTTGGGAAACTAACTCCACTGGGTAGGGTTAATCCACCACTGGGTAGAGTTAAAATGTTGAGCACGGGGTAGGGGGGCAGGGCGGCTGTGCACAGAACTGGGGTCTCTTTTTCCTTCCTTCTTTACAGTGGCCTGCAGACCCAAAACTTCCCTGCGGGTAGACTGTGATCAGGCCCAGACTAGAGAATGAGTTGGGAAGCTCTTTGGTTCTCAACCTGAGATACAACTTCTAACCCAGTTAACCGTCATCCGTCACCGAGGTGCACCCTGGCTCCATCTGCCTTATAATTACACTTGTACTGGCTCTCAGTTGGCTCAGGACTTGGGAAGGGAAGGGTACTCTTTGAAGATAAAGGTTTTTATACAATAAAAACCTTCCCTCCTCCAACGGACCTCAAAACTAAATTAGGAACCACTATCCTAATCTATCAAACCTGTCACCTTATTGAAAAATCCTTCCAATCGCTTACTTAACAGCTCCAAAGACATGGCTAGGGGTTTGACTGAGAGGCCTGGCCCAAAAGGTATAGTAAGGCTAATTCAACCAAAGTAGTGAATATTGGGGGAGAAGAAGGCGGGGCGGGGGGGGATGACTTCAGTGCCACTGTGAAACCCTATGGTACACAGGTCATGGTCAGTAGCCACAAAGAGGAAGAAGAGGAAATGTGAAGTCTTTAGATATTCTTACCTTGTGATTTCATATCTACATGGTTTTTTTTTTTTTAAACCACAGCAGTTAAAGAATTTCTTGAATTTATCTTTTCTCTGAAGAATTTAAAAGAATTTAGTATATTTACACACTTGCCTCAAAGCTTCCTTATGAGACTGGATGAGACTATAATGTTATCATGAAGAAATATTAATGTATGGTTACTATCTACAGCGCTCAGTTCTGAGCATTAGAGAAAAAAATAAAAAACAGATGAAGAGAAAGATAGATGGTTCCTGACCTTGAAGGCCTTACCCTCTAACTAGAAAGAGTTCAGGCCCACAAAGCATTATGTATTAAAAAAGGAAATACAAACCAAATGTCAAATAGATGGTAAAGATTTTTTAAATGTTTCAGGAGTTTGGGGGGAAAAAGCATCTGTTGATATCAAGAGTGATTATAATGGTTTCATGGAGGATTTTAGAGAAAACATCAGAGAAGTGTTAAAACCTCGACCCCACACACTGGAGAGACTGCAATTGGAAACTGCATCTCTGGTGGAAGCTCCTAGAAGGTGTGCCACGTGCACTGATTTCTGGGTGCAGCCCTACCGTGCCTTGCGCTGCACTCTGCCCCGGGAGGGGTCTCCTCAATCCCTGTGGAGCACATTAAACGGGTCCTCTGTTTCCCTAGATCTCACACCGCTGTTTCCCTGCCCACTTTCCAGCCAGGAGCAGCTGACCCCAATATACAGGAAGTACTCTGCCCACTGAGCCACCCTGCCAGGGCTGCTTGGTCACAGGGATGATGAAAAGGACAGACTCTCCGCCGACTTGGCTTTGCTGAGGCAGGGAGGCTCTGCCAGCTCTGCTGGCACACTCGGGGCCCTGCAGAATTTTACTACAGACACCGCCTTCCTCCTCGAGTCCCCAGCTCGGTGGGGACAGGAGGCAAGTGTTAATAGCAGAGATAGCAGCCCACACTCTCTACAGGAGGGGAAAGGCGGGCCAGGATAAGGTGGAAAATAAAAGGAGGCATCGGGGCTGTGCTCAACCTGCCCGGGATACACTGGCTGCCATAGTCATTATATTTTTTCTGGCTGCAGAGACATGTTGCTATGGAACCAACACATGCCATTGCTACTTGGCCTCTAGCAAATAAAATCCCAGCACTGGCAAGAGCATTTCCCTAGATTTCCCTTAAAGGGACACCATCGAGGCCGAGCACTGTTCGAGCTTGGAAACGACAGCAACCTTGTTCCCGGGTCCAGCCACCCCGCATGTACCATGAGCTGGAGCCCAGTGACACGTTTTTACAAGGCGGACCCGCGTGCAGCACGTGGACCTGTGTGGTACAAACCCAAGATGTGGGGATCAGCCTCTGAGTTGCTTTTTGAAAACTCACGGCTTCGGTGTGTGTTTAGTTTTCCCCCAACTGGTAAAAGCAAACAGCTTGTAGTATTTGGGATAATGATTTGATACCTCCTGACTGTCGACTTCAAGCTACTTGCAACCCAGCAGGAAACCGAAGTTGCTACAAGTGGCCGGCGTGAGTTCAGGTGGTCCTTATTTTATCGCTTTACCATTTCTTACCTCACACCCCTCTCTACCAGTTTATTCTTTACTTAAAGAATAGCACAAAATAGGCACGGAATTTAGCACATTCCCCCTTTCCTAAGGCCCTGAACTGTGTCCTGTTTTAGTCTTTATCAATCTCTTAGTTCCACAGAGACCCTTTGATTCCCTAGGTAGCAGCAGACCTCAGTGTTCCATGTTATACTTTGGTGTGCTCTGGGGATAAACCTTCTGGGCTTTTCTTGGATAAGATGAGGAAATGGAAACCCTCACACTCACAGTTCTAATAATGCACAATTCATGCACATGGAGTATGGGGAGACAGGAGAGATCAATTTTAGAGTAATACGCAGGCGGACGGCCTCTCAGCGAATCAGCAATCCATGTCCTAAATTCCGTACAGTGCGTTGGTAGAAAGCAGACTACCTCTGTACCCTGAAAAGCAGGAAACTCAAGTTCCTTTACAGGGACTCCAGTAAGGGCAGAAGAGAAGCCCCCATTTGTTAAGGTAAAGTGATTAAGTTGACAAGTGGGATAAAATAACGGACACAGGCTCTCAATACTACGCTTGGGCCAATCTCTAGAGGACATGGAACATTGTGGAAATAAGTGCACCTAGATCATCAACCTAAATGAACATGATCCAGAGCCAGGTCTGGCACAGGCATCTCGAAAGAACCACAGGTAGGTTCACCTTCTGGGATCCCATATTTGTATATTCGCCGCAACACCCCACAACTGTGCCCTCATGTACAAAGCATAATTTTTTTTTTTTAGTGAAGAAATGTTTCTCCGAGAGTCTATGATTGCGGGCCAAATTTGCACAGCAATTCAAGAAACCTGCTAAGCCTCGCTCTGCAGGTGCAGACAGCCCTGAGTGGGGGGCGTGCCGCTCTGCAGTTGGCCAGCAAGCACCTGCAGGTGCACCTCGGCGTCTAGCTGCAAAGCAGGTGGACCACCGAGTCTCAGCACGTGACGGGGCATTGCAAATGCGGTGGTTTGGTAAAGGCGCAAAGGAAACAAAAACTAGGCCCTCTCAGATGAGGTCCAAAATGGAAACGTTCTGGGTACCTCCATGCAATCAACCTCTCTCGTCTTGGTAGTAACCAAGTGTGATTATTAGAAAGTTAAGTAGCAACAAGCATCACTCCTGACACTTGCCTTAGAGGGACGTTAGCATTAGTTTATCAGGATTACATCGGGTTGAACTGCCTGTAACTCTGTATCCCCAGAAGGTACTGGGATTCAAAGGACAGCTCTGTGTGGGATTGTGATGGGGGAGGGCATGACCCCACGCAGCTAAGAGTTAAATGCCTCTCTCATAATCTAGGCTTAGATGCCAGGGTTGGGGGAAGCCCTCAGGGCCTCAGCTGTCCCATCTGGACATAGGGGCTTTGCTAGATGAGCTATAACATCCCATCTAGTGCTCACATCCTATGATTCTCTGTCGTGGTGTTAAAACAAAACAGTATGTCACAGGAACAAAACGAATGGGTTCTCCTTGCCCACGGCCGTGTTTCTGTGCATCAGCCACTGGGGGGGGGGGGGGGGGGGCGGGAAGAAACTTCCTACCTCATCCCCTCTGCAAACTGAACAAGGTAATAGTAACGGTGGTAACAACTCAGAAGAGACAAAACCTGTGAACAGCCAAAAGAAATGGCAGAAAAACACCAGGGGAAACCCTCCCCTCCAAAGGAAAGGGGAAATGTAATGAGTACAAAGAGTCTCTTGGTTCCAGGTAGGAGAAAACTCCCAGAGAATGCGTGCTAAGTAACGTGAGTAAAAAATATATATAAAGGAGTCAAAGGATTACTCACCCTGTGAAAACAGATTGGTTTCTCTTCACCCAGAAAACGGACTAATTTCTTTGGAAAACTGGAAGAGAAAGAGATTAAAAATAAAACATTAAATCCATCCCATAAACCAGCACAGGTATGCAGGCCGGAGAGATAAGAAATCCCAGCGCCTGGCCCTCTGGTACTTACTAGGTGCACAATTAATGTCTGACGAACGTGGACGGCCCACTGCTTGGCTGACTACTTGAATTTTAAAGACGGAGCTTTGAACAATTAACATGTAGAAAATAATCACATGCATGATCCTCTTATCTCGAGATGCGTGAATCTTTGACAAAGGAGTGCCGTGGCGCCGCAGGTCTGCAAGTCTTGCAGTTTACCCAGCCTCCAGACGGAAAAGCCCACAGACGGCGACAGGGGCACTTGACTTCCTGGGCAAGGGGGTCCTACACAAAGAACCTGGAGAGACACCCCCCCTGTGTACCGCACACGGTGAGCAGGACATGGCGATACTCTTAGCTCCTCAGTGGAGAGGGAGGCTACCATTTATAGGGGGAATTGAGGCCAGGTGGGCTCACTGGTTACCAGGGAAACCAGCAGCTAGGGCGGGGGCAAGCACGTAGGCAGTTACTGATTAAGGCCTATAATTAGGAGCATTGGATAGTCATGTGAGTGAAGCCGAGCCTGGTCGAGCACGGCATGTAGAGAGCAAGGGAACAGCCATCTTGAATGGCCTGACCGTACAATACATACGCCACATATACTGTGGTGCCTGGTAAATCATTTTTTAGGTGGATCTTTAAAAATGTCGTGTCTGCACCTCCACAGTGGAGCTAAATGAAGATGTCTTCATAGTAACCAGAGCATCCCATCATGTCACTTTGCCTTCCCCCAAAATGGGGCACCCACAACTCCATGCATCCCCCACTGAAGTCCACGATCCCAAGGGGGTCCATAATCAAGCTCCTACGGGAACGTGGACTGGCAGAGAGGCACCGCGGGCCACATATCAGGCGGACAGAGTAATCCCGTGAGGAAGCCAGTGTCTGAGATAAAGTGTGGGAAAGAACCGAGATGATGTGCATACTGGAAGAGGAAGCCTGTAAGACAAAGGGAGATAAGGCAGTGTGACAGCCACGGACCGTTTAATCTGCATCACATAAGGGGCTAAACTCAAGATCCAAGTTTTTAAAAATTTCCAGAGACTGTTTTAAAGATGGCTTTGCAGGTTCAGCAGGGGGTGAGGCAGTGCTAGTCTAGCTCCCGAGACTGGCAAATTTCACACAATCCCAGAGCATGGGGGATTCAGCCTCCAGCTCTAAGAAGGCCACTGCTTTTCCTTCCTTTTCCCTAAAAGGAAAAGAGCACTGAGGCCTCTAGGGCTGTATGCAGTGTCTCCTCCTCAGGATGTGTCCACTGGCCAGAGATTCCCAGACCCGGCGTCTCAGAATCTTCTAGGCAATCTTCTCCTGCAGAGTCCCAGGGGGAAGCTCACCTACCCTACCGCCAGCCTGTGAGAGGAGAATTAAGGGCTACTGAGACCACGTGATTCTGCCTTGAGAAGTTTACACTCTAACTGAAAACACTGCAGGGAAACACGGCAAGCGGTGAAAGATGGTCCACGCTGGTAAAATCTCTGAGCACCTTCTTTTGAAAGCAACGCTTTAGAATCCACTCACGTACATTAACCTTTTCATCCTCAAGGCAGACGAGATCTACGGTGAGATTCACCAAGACCCCAAACGCTGATCTTAGAGTCAGATCTGAGCCTGAGTCTCAGCTCTGTCACCCACCAGCTGTGCGACGCGAGTAACATAAACTCTCAGAACCCTTTCCTCATTTGCATGATGGCGGCAATAGTACCGACTTCACATCATATTTCAGGTTCTTAGTGCGGTGCTTGGCATGCAGGAGAGACTCAATAAAAAGAAAACGCTTTCACGCCGTGTGGCACAACACGTCTACAGATCTGTGACAACCGACAAGACAGAGAATGGCTTTTTTATAATTTCATGATTTATCAAAGGTGTGGGAGCTTTGTGTTCCCTTTCTCCACCCACCAAAATGAGGTGAGAAAAATGAGAACAAAGTAAAACCATTTACTGTGAACACTTAGATAATACAGATAAGGGAGGGAAAAACCCCAAATAATATAAATCAGCAGAAGTCCCACTAAAAATCACTTTGAACATTTTGGCTTCTACGGCTCCAGGCTTTCTCCTATGCTCAAGTGTACAGAGTATATTATGCATATGCTTACATAAATAAAATTATATACATACAATTTATTCATAACATTCTATGATAGCATTCGTATTGTTCTGCAGTCTAATATTTTACTTGTTATATTGTAAACCTCTTTTAACATGAATAAATCCATCTCCATCATTAATTGTTTAAGAGCTGCAAGAGTACTGCGCTGAAAGAATGAACCACTAAATGCATATCTGCTGATTTACAGAATCTATCAGTGTCCCACATTTGTGAGAAATGACTACACCTGGGGTAGTGTGTGGTTCTTTTCTATATTTTCGGTAAGAGTCAGAAAGACAGCTTGTTGTGACCAACTAGAGGGGTGGGATAGGGAGGGCGGGAGGGAGGGAGACGCAAGAGGGAAGAGATATGGGGATATATATATATATATAGCTGATTCATTTTGTTATAAAGCAGAAACTAACATGCCATTGTAAAGCAATTAAACTCCAATAAGGATGTTTAAAAAAAAAAAAAAAAAGGAAGAAAGGCAGCTTGTATAAATGTCAGAAGTCTTGGGGACTTCCCTGGTGGTCCAGTGGGTAAGACTCTGCGCTCCCAATGCAGAGATCCCTGGTTGGGGAACTAGATCCCGCATGCCACAACTAAGACCCGGCGCAGCTAAAATAAACAAATAAATAAATAAATAAATATTTTTAAAGAAATAGCAGAAGTCATAACAAAATAGTGTTTTGGTTTGAGTGCGTGCAGCTGAGAAGAATACAAACTAGTACATACACCACAGAAGAATAAAATCACAAATCACAATATTCAGTGAGTATCCAGTATATTGAAAGGGGACATTTTAAAGACTAGGGCTACTGGTGGATAGAAATGCCTATTTCAAGTGTGAAATGATAAGTCTGAAGTTCAAAAAGTGTCCCTGTTTTTCAGTCTGATTATGGTGGAGTGACTTAAGGATACAGAGAAAAGTAAACTGAAAATTGTAAACCCTTGAGTGAACCTAAAAATTAGAATCACGCTATATGAACTTGAAAACAAAAAAAATCAGAATTTATCATATTTAGAAGATATCAAGAGTTGGAATGCTCACGTAGTCTCAACATTTCTAATCTAACTTCCTTCTCAAAGAGAACGGTTGGTTTGGTAAAAACATATGTGATACAGCTTAATTGAGTCGTACGACAGACACATCGTTGTCCTTGATTGAGAAAATTGTGCCATACCTATAACTGTGACTGACTAGCATCATTTCAGGAAAATACTACTTTTGGGGGGAGGCTGGGGAAGTGAATGTATCCCCACAATCGGCAAAATGTTTAGAGCGAATTCTTCCTCCAGTTATGAATGTAACCCTTTAAAGTACTGCCAACACTGCTCCTACAGGCAGGCAGGAGGTGGGGGACTGCCAGGAAGCAGCAGAGAAAGAAAGACAGGACATACTGTGGCAGCAGAGAAATGCCAAATCAGATACTAGTGGAAAATCCTGGAGAGAACAAAAGTGGAGAAACATGGAGCTTGATTTGTGAAACCAGTTGATAACTCCTCCACATGCTATACCTTCCAACAAAAGTTCATGCCTTGTCCAGCTTATGCAATTTTTAAAGAAAGTGACAATTTGTGGTGGGGCTCATGCTCTTAGAAGAGATTTCTACAGTTCTATTTTGACCATGAGAAATAGAATCAACATTGGGAGAGAAGAACTCACACCTTAAATTTTGGCACTGGATGCAATCAGAGAAAGCATCTCTTCAACAACTTCCACTAGGGACTTTACTGTATCAAGGAATATGGACTGAGCTACTTTTAACAGATCTCTTTTTATGGTACAATTCAGGAGTCTGTGAGATGTTCCTAGATCTAACCATGAACTTCTTACCGGGACAAAATTTTTGCTTTGCTTCACTCTCTTGTGGTCACTGCTTTCTCCATGAGAGAGAACCACATGGTCAGGCTGTGTTGTGTGCTATATAACGTCTCTTTTATGCAGGGAAACCTAATGATACACATTCTTAAATTTGCTTTCAAATTTGCTTTTGCATCCCTTGACGATGTACATGGGATGGCCCGGAGCACATTCTGTATAGCAGACCCAGCCATGGAAAATGATGGTTTAGATTCTAATGTCCCCATCTGATTGTGTGTCTCTGGTAAATATGACCTAGCCAGGAAAACTGCACTGATACTCTCCATTCCACACTCACAATATATTTTTGGACTACTGACTTTGGAAAATTCTGTCTTGCCATTGTATAATGTCACCCTAAGTAAGCACTGGATTCCTTAATATTACCTACTACACTTAGTGGGTGGCTAATTATGCCGACAAGTTTTTATCTATTATCTCTAATCCTCACAAAATCTCTGTAAAACAGTCCCATTGTGCAGATAACGAAAACAAGGTTCAAGACAAGTGACCTAGCCAAGGTCATATAACCAGTAGGTGACAAGGCAAGAATTCGAAGCAAGGTTTGTCTGGGTTTCAAGGCCAAAGAGAAAAGAGATGAGCACCATGGCACGGAGCATGTGGATGTCTACATGAAAGTCCCAGTACGTAGCATTCTGTCAAACACAAAAGACAGCACTTGCTTCCACTAAATAAGCAGGTATTTCTTTTTCAGGTTATCAAATGTACAGGGGCAGCAAGTGAGGGTGTTAGAACAAAAGTCGCCCACAACACTGAGTGACAGGCCATGCTTTAGCCATCCAACAGGTGCTGGGCAAGCATTCTTCAGGCAGAGCAGCAGGACCGAAGTGCTGACAGTTGCAGTGACACAGAATGTAGCCTCGGCAAGTCGCTCTAACAATTACTTCGCATCATGCTGATTATGAGCCACAAGCATGCAATCAACAGCACAGAGATGA